GAAAGCAGACAGACTTGCCAGAGGAGGATCCGCAAGACCATACATAGGCCCCGAACCTATACTTGGGATAACAAAAAACAAATGTAGAATCCTCCATCACAGAATGGATCCAAACAAAACAAAAGGAGAAGTGGATAAACTCTAGCAGTGCTAGACATAGTAAACTTATGATGAAACAACCCTCATCAAGACTGGCAAAAGCACTGCTGCAATTGGAAAGGGTCAAACTCAGAGGAGTGGTAGGACTACTAACCGCTCACTGGCATCTGAGAAAACATCTACACAACATGGGTATATACAGCGATTATCCAATTTGCAGATTATGTAATGAGGAGGAGGCAACAGCATAACATCTTCGAATGCGAAGCAACGGCTCAATGGAGGTTTAACCTAAAGTACGGAAGAAACTTAGGGAATCAAATTGCAACTGCGACAGTCAATGACCTGATGCATCTAAGAAGAAGGATTGAGTCTATTGCACTGAACTAAGGAACTAGGAAGGTACAATGAGCCAGAAGGCTGCAGTGCCTGGGGAGTGCAAACCCCTCTTCCTAGTATCCTTTTTCACCATACCATACCATACAAGTAAAATGTTGAAGTATTCCTGAACATTGTCAGCCTAATTTTGTTTTATTTGTATATTAACAATAAAAATTAAGTATTTTTCGAGTTTTCATAGTTCGTCTTGTGAGGATCTTGTTTTAAAATATTGGGAGATCGCTATCTGGCATAATGGCCGAAGCGTCAGCTTCCAAAAGGTTGTTGGACCTCATTGCCGTGAGTCGAGATGTACAAGTCATACAAACCAGATAGAAAGTGTTGATAAAAGCTTATCAAATAAAGCTCAATAAAATTAATGCCAATTTATGATGGGCCATTACTATATCGCGGATAAGCTGTCTGGAGTTTCATTGTCAGAAAAACCGGAGATCCGGAGAACAAAGTACATAAGAAAATAAACGGCTTCAGCTCCCCAGCTTTTAAAATATCTAAATAAAAATTAGTATTAAAATGAAAGAAGTTTTTTTGGTAAATTTAAATCTCAATTCTTAATTTCCTCAATCAAGACCGCGACTAATTCTAATGTCACCACATATATCCGCCAAATCTTCAAATTATTTAGACCTTTTCCATACTATAATGTCATATAACTTCAGAATAACCCAATTTTTTTGACACATAGTCCATTGTTGTTGTAGTAATGATAACTCCTAATAGAATATTTTTCCTGGAATGGAGTGAACATACGCATCTTAAGCACTCCCCACACTTTCTTCAAGATGGGCCAGTGATTTTACTGGCTAATGAAGAACAAGGCTGAGCAGGGTGACTCTTGCACCATGCCCACAAACACCGATACTGTCAGGGGCTGACGAAAAGGATGACCACGACGGAGTCCAGACCGAACGGTCACGCATTTTCGACCCGGAAAGGACGACAGGGAGTGCAGAGCAAGTTCACACCAGTCCAGAGGGATTACAAGAAGACCGAAAGATTTTGTGATTTGTTTTGCCACACTACTGCCTAACTGACATTTTTTGTGTCCTCTTCTGCATATATCAAACGCAATTACTTTTAATATTGTCCTTTTGTTCCTGTTTTTTTTTTAAGAAGAAAAAATTCTGTGAGGATCGTATGTTTGCAAATAGTCGGAGGACACTATCAGGCATAAAGGCAAAAGTGTCAGTCTTGAAAACGGTCGTTCCTTTTGAATTTCCATCTTCATTTACTCAGTGTATTTTTACTTTTTTATACGGTCACATTTTTGATCGTGAATTTATTCATACATATCTCAGAGAATTTTTGTTGTAGTTTGATAAATATAGAAAGGTATTGGTTTTACTTTCTGTATAATTTTTGTCGCACCATTAAAACAATCCTCACACTCTTACTGCCAAGAAAACGGCCTGAGACGTAGGTTAACACCCTGTATACTATTATATTGTACATTCACTTAATTAATTCACTTAACACGTATCACTGGTATTAAATAATATAATATAGTGGTATCAACCAGTCAATTTATGATATTAATTGTGCTAAACTATTTATTTAAATATTTTTTTTTAGTTTACTGTTATCTTAATGTGTGGTGATTAGTGACCGTTTGTCGATGATAATTGAGAAATCGTGAGATGCGGTCTGGTGTGATGTAGGTTTCAGAAAAACATTTTCTTTATCGTGCGAATGTTTCGATCTTTATTGAGATCATCTTCAGGGCTCAAAGTGTTTGTTTTCTGTGTAATTGTGCCATTCTTACGCGTCGTGTTGAGAGTGCTTAATGCTGTAATTCAAAATTTTAAACAAATGTACATTTATTCATTAATATTTCACACCTTTTCTAACTACTGTAAATTTCAAAATAGCCAGGCATACGAGTCGAACCGGTTGAAAAAAAAAGAAAACAATTCGTAAAATTGTTTTCGCTTTAGTTTCGATAGCTTCCTACACGTAAACGAAATGAAACTGTCAGGCGACCGTGTTTGAATCGAATAATGATGGAAAAATTGTTTGCGTGATGTGTTATCTCATCAACATGGAATAATTATAATTGAAAAACTCTTTATCAACAGTCGCTGACTGATTGTATCACCGTTGACGTGATCTTGTACCATGAACACCTCCCTTTGAATTAATAAATCCATTTATTTCATTTTCCCTCTTGACGCATGAGTGTGAAAATGTGCAATTCGTCTTTATTAAGGGCAATTTACTGTTTTTGCAATCATAAGTCTTTTATCACTTTTAAACAATCTTTTTTTTATTATTGTTCTATATAGCATTTTTCAGTCAAATGAAACTTTTTTTAAAATCAAATAAACCTTTCTCCAAGCAAATGAAACCTTTTTGCAAGCAAATGAAACTATTTTTCGAAGCAAATGAAACCTTTTTTCAACCAAATGGAACTATTTTCCCAAGCAAATGAAACCTTTTTTCAAGCATTTGATTGAAAAAAGGTTTCATTTGATTGAAAAAGTTTCATTTGATTAAAAAAAGTTTCATTTGGTTGGAAAAAAGTTTCATTTAACTGAAAATGCTATAAAAAGATGATTCCTACTCACAGTAAGTTGTTTCGCAACAATCCGGATTTCGAGCCTTTTAGCTCATCATCAGGTTGAAGGGCGTTTTCGCGTTGGCGGGGGTATCAGCGGATGTTTGTAGAAACCCTTCTACCTGATGATGAACTAGAGGGCTCGAAATCCGATTGTTGCGAAACAACATACTGTGAGTAGGAATCATCTTTTTAAACAGGACTGAACTCCACCCCACTCCATCATTTATAATTTCTATCACAGAAAGTTGTTGCTCGCTCAAAAACACTTTTCTATCTCACTTAATTAAACTTTGACGGGGTGGATGTAGAAAAGTTTGATGAATACGGATCTTCACAAGAAACGTTCTTGTTCCTAAGCCTTACGATTCAATTATTGTAATATTAATATTCAATCATCATAAAAAATTTTGTTAGTACTATAATATCATTTATTTATTCCTCTACATAATCATTATCATTAGGTTTTAGGTTTCATTTGCTTGAAAAAAGGTTCCATTTGCTTGGAAAAATAGTTTCATTTGGTTGAAAAACGGTTTCATTTGCTTGTAAAAATAGTTTCATTTAGTTGAAAAAAGGTTTCATTTGCTTGAAAAAAGGTTCCATTTGCTTGGAAAAATAGTTTCATTTCGTTGAAAAAAGGTTTCATTTGCTTGTAAAAATAGTTTCATTTGATTGAAAAAAGTTTCATTTGATTGAAAAAAGATTTATTTGGTTGAAAAAAAGTTTCATTTGACTGAAAAACCTAACTTCAGTTAAGATTTGAAACTTATTATTGAAAAAAGATTTTTTTTTAATAGTTTGGCAATTTTCAACTAAACGATTACCAACATCAAACACGGTTTAAATTCAACCTATTTGTATTTACAAGGCAACAGTTAAGAATATTAATGATCAATCTGCTATGAAATGTATATTTCTGTCATTATGTGTTCCCAGTGATATTACATTACAACGTTTAGGTGTCAGTTTTTAGTTCTAAAGTAGCAAGTAACAATAATACCAGACTAGTTACCGTTTTTGGCCATATTCCAATTGGTGTTCGATTTTAAAAATCAGAATGGAACGAGTTAAGTGTGTTATTTATAAATCGTTTCATGCCTAATATGTCTGAACTCACTTTCGGAAAAATCATCGACAACGTGGCGTGAGATGAAAAGGTTTTATTCCCCTTTCTACGTTTACATTCGAAAATTATTGCACATCGCGTTCGTTAAACAGTCATCATCACATTGACAAAACGTTTGTCGTAAGCCTATTAAAATGTTAATAACGGGATGTTAAGCTACTATAAAAACAAAAACGATTGCTTAAAATAAGTTTACTTTTCAATTTTGTAACTTCTTTTTTTTGTATATTTTTTCGTTATATATTACAAATTCACAAGCATTCAGTGCCGTCTGTGTTTTCACAACTCAAACGAAAACTGTCGACGTTTCCACTATGACAAATTATGTCAAATTAATTGCGATTTAGACAAGACAGCAATTATATACATTGAATTCATGTTACCTGTATACATTTACATTAAAATAAAAACTTACATTTTTAACACTTACTAGTTGTATGCTCTAAAATGCCTTCATACTTGAACATTTGTACATTGGGTAGAATAAAATAAACAACGTTAAAACATTTATTATACATATAATATTAGATCACAGTGCATTTGTTAGTTAAATCAGAAAATACTGAATGCTTTTGATAAAGAATCCATACTGTTTGCCTCTCTCTTCACCGATGTACAACTATAAGTATATATTATACTGCTCACATATACACGTCTCTCTCAACACACGCACACGCACACACACGCACACGCACGCACTCTCGCTCTCTCGCTCTCTCTCTCTCTCTCTCTCTCTCTCTTTCTCTATCTCTCTCTCCCTCTTTCTCCCTCTCTCTCTCCCTCTTTCTCTCTCTCTCACTCTCTCTCTCTCTCTCCTCACTCACTCTCTCTCTTTTTTTCTCTTTCTCTCTCTCTCTCTCTCTCTTTCACACACCCACACACATATTTATATAACACGTATGTGTACGTATGATTAAAAAAGGACTATCAAAATGTACATAATTTACAAAATAGTTATTATCGACCTGAGGCCATACACGATACCTACAATTTTACTGTTATACTTACATATGTATAAATATCTATAAATTTAATACAAGGTTTAAAACCTTAACATTAAATATATACATTAAACATATTCAACAAGCCGTCACGGCTATCTACAACAATCACCCTTCAGAAAGGGTGGCCTGTAATAAATTATATAAGTTTATATAGAAAATAAAAATTAGCACCGACTGTAAAAACGGGGTAATCTTTTGAGAAATTTAACCGACTAAATCCATTGTTATGTATATATAATTGTATAACTGTTTATATGTTATTGACGGATGAATGTGAATAGGAACGTACTTAACTTTGATCAATTATCAATCGTGAATGAAATAACTCTAAAGCAAAAACAAATTTGTAAAATAATATTTTACGGTAATTTATGAATGGTAAATGACTAGATATTTTAATAAAAATTAAGAACACTATAAAATAACAAAAAATAGAACTGAATTGATGTAGAAAGGCAACATGATGATCTATTTTCAATAAAAGAAAAAAAAAATAATGGTTGATGGTACGCTATAAATATTTCCAAATTAGTACGTTTCTATTGTTTTTACATCTAACTTGCTTTAGCTTCGTTTATAACACTAAATGCCACATCCAGCGAAATTAACAAGAAAATTTGACAAAGATGACCTTTTAGCCAGCAGCCAGATCGGAACCCCCTCCCCTGTAAGAGGTGTGCGATCAGTCGATGTTTTTTTGGAAAAGGATTCGCAAACGTAACATTTAATTTTCAATTAAAATACAACAAAAATGGTTTTTACAAGAAAGCGTTTAAGCATCAAAAGATATTCATTTTACTCATTTACATACTATGTGCGCTTAATCGGATTTTGGAACTCTTTTAATGTACACGGTGGTCCCAACAGAAGTACGTAATAAAATATATTTCAATAACAAATTATTAACACAACAGCATGTACAAATTCTCCTAATTTGGGCAATAAAGTTATTACTCAAGGAGATTAAACACAGCGCGTTTTGGTGATGAGATCTGGTTCTTTCCGAAACCAATACTCCAGAAGAAAAAAGGAGGTTATCTTGCTGAAGCGGTACTTTACAGAGGGACCAGCTGAATAATTTATAGAATCACTTTTTTACTACTGTGGGCTGGAGTCGTCGGCTTCACGGATGCTTTCTGGCGACGACTCAGGAGATTTGGCCATGGGGATTTGGTACGGGCTGAAACGAACCTGAGGTACTGTTGGATAAGGCCTAGGAACGGCGCCGAGCTGGTGAAAAGGCCACGGCGCCCAAAGGCCGGCCGAGGGGTTGCTCAAGCCGCTCCCCCCGGCTCCGTATATGGAGCAGACCGCAGGATTCATCCCTGGGCCGTAAGGGACTCCTACAGCGGCGGCGGCGGCTGCAGCCCGCAAGAAAAGCTGCGACCTGGCAGCGAGTAATGTACGTTCTTCTATCGTAAGGTTGCTCGCATCGATCAACGACGACCTCAACAACTGCTGCTCATTTAGCATTGTCTCCATCGTTTCTCTGAATAACAAAAAAACAACAACGGTTAAACAAACTATTAATTAATTGAATGATGTTATAACCATTTTCTATCTAATACACTGACAGGCAAAAAATTCCACTCAATTGATTTTTTTTTCTCGATAAAAGAAAATTCTGCTCTTAATTTGTCCCATGTTTTTATCAATAAATATTTGTTTATGCTGTTTTAAATTGGGAATATCAATTAGACGTAAAGAGACTTAATCCTTAATCCAAAACATGGATAAAGGATTTTTCAATGATTAATTTTTACGGAATTTAAAATTTTTATTCAGTCTCATTTGAATTCTGAATCAATAAACTGTTCAGTTTTCATCTTTGTTTTCTTAATTTAATTGTTTTTTCAACTTAAAAATGCCACATAGTGCTGAACATATTGCGCGCGGTGTGGCACATATTGATGATGGACGTTTCATCACGTAGCGGCTATTGCCATCGGAGTTCCCTACGAAACTCTGCGAGATGCCATTAGACGTTTTCGAGAAACCGTGACCTACCATAGAAGGCCCGTTCTGGACGCCCTTGGATAACAGAACCACAGGATGAGTGTTTTTGATTTTCAAAATTTTGTGAAACCGGAACCTTACGTTGTCCAGACGATTCATCAGCTCCAGGAAGTTCGAGGTCCACATTTCTGAGCGCACTGCTCAAAGAAGATTAAATCACTATGGGCTGATGCTTTTCGCCCCGTAAAAGAGCCAGAATTGACCAGAACAGAGTTGCACGGCTCTCATTTGCTCGAGAACACAGAAAATTGGTCTTTGGACGATTGGCCTGCTGTACTTTTTACAGATGACTGTAGATTTGCTCTACGATCTCCAGATGGGCGTGACCGAGTGTGGAGAAGGTGAAGGTACGAAGCCTGTAATTTTTCCCAGAGCCGACCTTTTCAACGTAGATCAGTGATGGTGTGGGCGGGAATTTCAATGGAGAGTCGCACAGAGTTGGTTGTTGTTCGTGGAGGGTCTTTGACGGCCACTCGCTATGTGGATGAAATTTTGGAACATCATGCGTTGCCTATCCTCAATGAAATCAGAGGCAATCTTATTCTAATGCACGATAATGCCCGTCCACATGTCGCTCGCTTAGCCTGGCAGCCCGTTCTCCAGACTCGAACATTTATGAGATAACCTCAAAAGATGTATAAGAGCACCTTCATCACTTCCTAATACACTCCACGATCTTAAAAGGACTCTTCCTGAAGAATGGGCTAACCTCCAGCAAAGAGACATTTCCGGACTGGTAGAAAGTATGCCGAAGCGTCTTCGAGATGTAATTCAGGCAAGAAGAGGAAATGCGATATTGAAATGCTAATTAAAAATTTAAAACAAATATTATCTGTCCGTCTTTTTTAAAAATTCATTATCCTAAGCAATTTACCTTTTTTAATTTTTTAGACAAAGACTCAATTATTAAACGTTAAAAAACATGATACTTTGATTAATATATAAAAATATATACAAATGAAGTTATATTATAGGTGGGTGGAATTTTTCACCTGTCAGTGTATATACATGTATATATCTAAGTAATATTAAATATTTACGATTATCGTTACCTCTCGAATTCGGTGAGTCTGGAGGAGTCCCTGAAACCTTTGGCGAAAGGGTTGCTATCTATCTTCAGCTTGGTGATCTGCAAATAACAAAAAAATAAATAGTGAGTTGGCAAAGATCTTGATCGCCGGATTTTCAGCCTCTGCAGAACACTAATTGTCGCTCAAACTCGTGCGACATTTGGCACAGGCGAGTTCTATCGCAGTGCCCTTTATGCGCCCTATTACAAAACAACATCGCGAGCCAGAGGCTGCGATAAATAGAATTTTGTCCTTTAAAATGTACCGAAACGCAGATTTATAGTCCGCTTCTTAATTAAAACACGAAAGACACCAAATTTGGCCATCGACGTGCCAGACTTCCCTCTACAAGTTCTAATAGGTTATTAAACTACAAATTGTCATATTTTAAACGTAATTTTATTAATTAAGGTCTAAAAAAGTGAAATAATTTCAGCAGTATTTCAGCACATCAATTTCAAAAACCACTGAACTCAAAAAAGAAATATGTTTAATTTGGTCGATCATACTTAACAATTTATTTTCTAAGTAAACATTTACATTTTATTGTGCGATTTCCACTTGATATCCTCCTCGACATAATTATGAACGATGTGTATAATTTTGGTAAGTCATTCTCATTGTTTTCGACCCGTTAACACGTTTCGGGTTTTTGCCATCTTCAGTGTGCAGTAGATATGAGTTATTTTGTCGGGGGACTTCTTGTTATTGGACGTATTAAGTAACGTAGTAAAGTACATATTGCGTATAGTTATGTTGCTACTTAACGGATTTAAGTTAATTTTAATTGTTTAAAAACCATACCAAGGGGAAGAAGCCAGGAGCAGCATATTTCGTTGAGATTAACTCAAGAAAGCCATTGGGAGTGGCAGAACATGTATGTAGAACATTTGTAATTTCTGCTTAGAAAATTAGGAAAAAGCAGCACACATAATTAACGAGAGAGATAAGGAGAAGGCAAAATAATGACATTCCTGCAACTATAACTGAAGAGCCACTAAAACCTGAAGCTAGATAGTTATGACGCACATAATTATGAGATAGTCCTAACTGATGAACTCATTGTCAGTACATAAAACTCTTTTCCTACATTAAGGTCAAATCTACATAAGATTATGTTTTTATAAATGCTTTGTCAAATTTACAACAGTATTACCAGGTTTAATTGAAATTTTGCTTTCAAACCAATCGTGTTACCTTCTTTCAGAAAGAAAATACTAGCATTTGATTTTTCATAAACTAAAAAATCACATAAAAATATGCTAGCTTGCTGACATTATTGATTTCTTACGTTTATTTATTTTTTTAGACTGCTTTAAGCATGCTAATCATCCATAACCATTTCTACACTCGAATTAAAGATAGTTAATCGTTGTACCACGGACGTGGGTTCGATTCCCACTGTCGCCCCTGGAATTTTTTGATCTATCCCCTCTTCCCATAATCAATCACATAATGAGGCTTGGCTAATGTGGTAGACACGACGCTATAAATAATAATAAACAATAATTAATTAGAAAAAATTAAATATACATTCAGTCCCCACGAATGTTTTTTTATTCATAATTTAAAAATAATTGATGCAGATTAGGGTTAGCAATTTTTCAAGATGCATCACCGACTTCATTTGTTAATTAATTTTAATTAAGATCTAGTGTCTAGGAACGAACTGGTTTTAAAAAAGATAGCCCATGTAAGCGGAAATATTGTAACTAGTGAGTCCTGTGAGAGAGCGTAGAAATCCCGGTCAAATCTAACAACAATGAAGTGGTCGGTTTTAAGTATCCCTATAAAGAAGTGGGTCCAAATGAGTCAATTCCAACCCCTGTTTTGTGCAATTAGCCAATTGAGCGACTCAGGGAGATCATCTGTTGTGATTTAACGTAAGGGGGCGACTCCCTTCCGCTACTCCCTTATCGCTCTCCCTCGCCCCTAATTTATATCGTATTCCAGGCCGAGAGTCAGGGGCCATTTGACAAATCCGTGTCCGCAACAGTGTGAAATGAGATCTAATAGCGACACAAATGTCCCTCGGACGTTTGCCGACTGGATTTTAATGCCCCAGTCGGAACCCTATCGATCTTTGTTGTAGGAGAGATGTCTGTAGTCCATTTGACAAGTCCAACTTGTCCCTTTTTCCAATTAGTTTCTTTTTCTTTTCATTTTTCGTTTTTAAGACAACGCGAAATTAGGCAAGATAGGTCAGCTTAAGCAACTCATGGATTCAGTTTCAAATATAAAGAAAAACGAATTTGACTTCTCCGACAACAAACGCGCGAAGCATAAAAACACTTCTTGCGTGATATGTTTTATACTTGTTGCATTACATGACAAAATCTACTGTTCCGTTGTTTTTAATTGGTCTTCGAAATTTTTAAAATTGTCTTTTTATTTTTTCAAATAATAACCTTTTGTTATAACAATAAAAATGTATTGAAAATATAAAGTAGATTTAGTCGTGCAATAAATTGTTCCTAAATTTGGATTGATGATGTATGCACATTGATGCGGATAATTATTATTTATGTATGGTCATTAGTGACCGTTAATCGATAATTATTCAGGAATCGTGAGATGCGGTCTGGTGTGATGTAGGTTTCAAAAAACATTTTCTTTATCGTGCCAACGTTTCGATCTTTGTTGAGATCATCTTCAGGGCCTGGGATTTACAAACATTGTTTACATTTAACAAATACATGTAGGATGTGGAAAAAAGTGAATTTATACAATGCAAAATATATTTGCAGGCTCTGAAGATGATCTCAATAAAGATCGAAACGTTGCACGATAAAGAAAATGTTTTTCTGAAACCTACATCACACCAGACCGCATCTGACGATTCCTGAATAATTATTATTTATAATACATTTTGACTCGATTTGAGATGGTAGTGTCTTTTATATTTTACACTACTTTCATTTCTTGGCGGTGGCAGGCTAATTGATGCGCGCACTGGATACGTGTAGTTTGCCAAAGGGTTATGTGGCCAGGTGTAAGAACGATGTCGACCTTTGGTATCTCGAAATCTCTGTGATAAATCGACTTTTTCGTTAACCATCGTCCGTCGCGAATCGCAGACAGCGATTTAGTGCGCACTGGCATGTGGTTATTTGCTAACGAGTCCCGCGTTACACAACTGTATTGCTATATCGGCGGCCGAATCATCAGACAGAGCAGTCATTTTAACGAATTCGGTCCGATATGCTCGTGACACTGACTTTTTTATCTTATACCTTTCATAAATACTATTTATTAGTTAACCTCACCTCTCGAATTTTCCCTCCTTTTCGCCATTTTTCAAATGTCGTGTAATCCATTTGATTCTCGGCGACAAATGAAATGGCCACGGAGAGCTTTCGTGAAGATACACTTCAGTTTAATTATTAAATCCATTACAGTTCGAGAATTCGAGAGGTGAGGTTGAGTTGGGAAGTTAGTGCCCGAACGGATCGAGGTCACTATAGCTCAAGTGGTACAGTAGCGGCGTATTTAGCCGAAGGTCGTGGGTTCGAATCCCGCTCGTGACAGGGACTTTTTTATCCCTACCCATACCTTTCATAAATATAAATTCATTGAAAAATGTAATTTTGTCAATCGGATCACGAACTGTAATGGATTTACTAAGAAATAGTTTTTAGTTGGCAGTGTTATTCAAATATAAAGTTTGTGAGTTACGCTCAACACCGTGCTAAGGTTCTTCACCCTGCAGACGTCAATAATAAATCTCACAACGAATGAGAAGGTCAACAGCCACACTGGGGTTCTAGAATTAGCAGGGGAAACTCAAGGAAACGCGGGAGCAGGTATCTCAAACGATTTTGTGGGAATAGTGAATTGTGTGGTCGCTCGCGACTTGTGTCATGTTTACTTTTTTTTCAGTCAGCAATATGTTTTGAAAAATAAGTAACCCCAAATACTGTATTCTATGCATATCTGTGTTAAATAATGAATATTGCCTGTTTTAAGCTGTTCCGCACTTATTTCCATCACTCGGTTTAATCGAGATCAGCGGTTTCCGATCGTTACAACTCATTTGCACGGGTTTTTCACGCAGGTACAAATTATGAACGGCCAAAAGTCATAATGACAATGGCCGAATTATGTTCAGGGCGAACCGGAAGCAGGACGAACCGTGGCATAAAACGGTGATACGTATCGGTTCGGCGGGGGCGGCACCGTGGGCGATGGGAGCGGTGAGGGGTGCTCGTCCTGACAAGATTAACTGACCTGACAGCTACTACGTTCGCCCGACAGTTCTCACGCTCCCATGCACACGTGGCAAATCTATGTCTAATTGTTTTACACGGGTTATAAATTTGACTTAAATGTCAGGGACGACTAGGATTCTTTTTCTGTTGGATACTTTTATTGGGTTGTCCGGAAAATAATGCAAGCTTATGGTTATAAAATAAAAAAAAAATTAAATGAATGATTTTAACATTTTTTATTTATTAAAATACCCTCCATCACTCTCAATACACTTCTGCCGTGTACGTAATGGCATCTTCCTCTATACCATCTGTATACAATTTTGAGACTTTATTAATAACAAATTCTGTAAACGCTTCTTCTAATGATTTTTGATTAAAAAATTTTTTATGTTGCAAAACGTCCAGGTTCTGAAAAAAAGTTAGTCGGAAGGCGAGAGGTCTGCAGAATAGCGAGGGTGTGGCAGAAACCTCACAACCAAGATCGTACGTTGATTGTTTTGCCAGGATTCAGAAACTGTAGTAAATCAACACAGCAAAGAATCATCATCTCCTTTTTTGATGAGTTGGGGGCTTAGGAAAATATGGTGATGCTTGTTTTTTGTCGACCCACTGTCCAGAAAGTCTGCTGTTATCGTAAAGAATCCAATTTTCATCCCAACTAACATTCTTTCCAGAAAAGGTTTCTGTTTCAGCAAAGAAGTGTAGCGCAAACTTCAATGATTTTTTGGCGGTCGTTTAATGCATGAGGAACAGAACTTTCGAGAATTTTCACCTTTCCAATTGCTTTAAAGTGGTCAGCAACGGTCGATTTGCTAACTGAAAGATTCTCTGCAAGTTCTGGAACTTGT